TATCAATTTTACAAATTCTAACATCCTGCCTTCTAATTCACAAGTACTCTACCCAACTTCGCAACTATAAGCTGGGATCATGACACAAATTTTATATTACAACCGTTGCAGTCCAGAAGTTTGATGCATACTTCTTTGGTCTGGGAGGATGTTGGTCTTATAAGTATGTGAAAGTTAAAGGACACTGTATTGAAATGACAACTAAGTAATGCATGAATGTCATCAAATTTTAATTTGTGGCAAATATGTTCAGTGGTTTTTCAGACTCTGGTTTAAAGATGATTATTGCATTTTGAACAAAAGTGAAGTAGTTTCCACATGCATTGCACCTGATGTTGCAGAAATGGTCTAAGGAACTTAACAAACCTAGGAACTGCACTTCAGCAATTCACTTATAGGTGACTGTGATACAGTTCTTTACAAAGTAATATCCTACAACCAGTAGTGATATAAATACACAAATATTGTAATATATAAAATATGTTGGTCATGGCAGTAGAATGGTGCAATACAGTCTTTAATACCTACCTGAATCACTAGAAATGGCTGACAAGACCTTGCGTTAATATTTCAACAGAAGAACAGCGCTTCTAATGATAAAATACTGGAGGTGTCAAGATGTAACTGAATCTAGAGCTTTCTGACTTTGTGGCAAATGTGCTATCAATTAAGGCCTGATATTTAAGTAGCTTATAAATAAGCATAAATTTGCATCTTGTAAGGAGATATATCGGAGTAAAAACCAAAAGAACTGCGGATAATGTAAATCAAGAACAAAAACAGAAGTTGCTGAAAAAGCTCTGCAGGTCTGGCAGCATCTGTGAAGAAAAACCCAGAGTTAACATTTTGGGTCCAGAACTGCTCTGAGGAAGGGTCACCGGACCCGAAACATTAACTGATTTTTCTCTTCACAGATGCTGCTGATATATCTGAGTACTTTGGTCAGTTTGATTCATATTTAATTTACAGATTCTTTGGCTGACAATGTTGCTCAACATTTTAAGTAAGTATTCCGCTGACTTTCTGTCTCTTGTGCAATTATTTATCTAACCTGAGTACTTTGTACGCCATCTCAGGAAATGGCCAGTGATGAGCTTAAAGAAATGCGAAAAGCCTTGACCAAGGCAGCCATTCGAGAACATCAAATGGCTAAGACTGGTGGTACTGAAACTGACTTATTCACATGTGGCAAATGTAAGAAGAAGAACTGCACCTATACACAGGTAAGCACTGCAAATTGATGAATTCTTTGGAGAAGGGATTAATTGCATGGAGCTGGTGTAAAAGTTTGTACAGAAGCCTACTTAGTTATTCATAGAGTGGTACAGGACAGAAATAGACCCTTTGGTCCAACTCGTCCATGCCAACCAGGTTTCCCAAACTGAACTGGTCTCTTTTGCCTGAGATTAGTCCATATCCCTCTAAGCCTTTCTATTCCTGTAACTTCCAAATGTCTTGTAAATATTATACTTGTACTCCCCTCCTGACTCCCTTGTCCGCTCCACATTCCCCATCAACCCACCCACAACCGGCACCTTTCCCTGCCACTGCAGGAGGTGCTACACCTGCCCCCACACCTCCCCTCTTCATGTCCGTCCAAGGCCCCAAACAATGTTTCCAAATCCAACAAGGATTCACATGTACGTCCTCCAAACTGGTCTGCTGTATCTGTTGCTCCTGATGCAGGCTCCTGTACGTCAGTAAGACCAATCACAGACCCAGTGGCTGATTCGTGGAGCATTTGCACTTTGTATGCTATTATCAACAGCACCTTCCGGTGCCAACCATTTTAACTCCTCTTCCCCCTCCATTTCTTTGGTAAGGTGTCCATCCTGAGCCACCTCTAATGTCACAATGATGCCACGTGTAAACTGGAGGAACAACACCTCATATTCCTTCTCAGGATCTTACAGCCCGATAGCCTCAATATAGAATTCACCAGTTTCAAAATCTCCACCCCTGGCCTCATCCCATGTCCAAACCTCCCTCTCATCCCTGCCTCCTTGACCTGATACAACCTGTCCACCTCCTTTCTCACCTATCCACCCCTCCCTTCCCATGATCTATCTCCGCAATTCCCTACCTGCATTCACCTATCACCATCCCACCTACCTTCCCCCAGCTCCACCCACCTTCCTCTATTGCTGAGCGCCCCCAACGCCCCCCCCACCCCCCACACCAAAGTCCTGATGAAGGGTGTAAATCTGCATCGCTGACTTTGAGGCTCCTTTGATGCTGCCTGACCTGCTGTGTTTCTGCAGCTCCACACTGTATTGACTCTGACTCCAGCATCTGCAGTTCTTGCTATCTCCACCTCTACCATTTCCTTGGCAGTTCATTCCATGTACATACCAACCTCTTGAAAAAGTTGCCCCTCGGGTCCCTTTTGAATCTTATCCCTGTAACATCCTTGTAAATCTTTTCTGCACTCTTTCCAGTTTAATAACATCCTTCCTGCAGGACAACCAGTACAGTGGCAACATGACATCCCAACTCCAAAACTCAGTGCTCCTACCAATGAAGGCAAGCTTCCCAATAGCCTTCACAGCCTTGTCTACTTGTTGCAAAATGCAACACCTCACATTTAACTAAATTAAACTCCATCTGCACTCCTTGGCCCTTTGCAGTCAATGAGATCAAAATGTCATTGTACTTTTAGATAACCTCCTTCACTATCCACTATACCAGCAATTTTGGTGTTATCCGCAAACATGGCTCCTATATTCTCATCGAAATTGTTTACATAAATAGGAAATAGCAATGGACCTAGCACCAATCCTTATGGCATACTGTTAGTAACAGACTTCCATATGAAACAACAACCCTCTACTACCACCATCTGTCTCCTACCATTCAAGCCAATTTCGTATCCAATTTGCTAGCTTTCCCTGAATCCCATGTGATCTAACCTTATTAACCACTCTACCATACGGAACCTTTGTCAAAGGCCTTGCTAAAGTCCATGTTGACAATGTCTACCACTCTGCCTTCATCTTTATTTATGGTCACCTCTTCAAAAAAAAAACAATTTCCCATGCACAAAGCCATGTGACTATCCCTAATCCCTTGCCATTCCAATTGCAACTAAATCCTGTCCCTCCAAATACTCTCCAACAACTTAACACACCACTGACGTAAAGCTCACTAGTCTATATGGTAAATGCAAGAAGAAGAACTGCACATATATACAGGTAAGCATTGCAAGTTGACACATTCTTAGAAGGGATTGGTTGCATGGAGCTGGGGTGGGAGTTTGTACAGAAGCCTACTCCCTGACTTTTCTTTGCAGCCTTTCTTAAATAATGGCACAACATTAGCCACCCTCCAGTCTTCCGGCACCTCACCTAGAGCTGTCAATGATACAAATATCTCTGCAAGGAGCCCTGCGGTTTCTTCCCTAACTTCCCACGATGTCCTGGGAGACACATGATCGTGTCCTGGAGATTTGTCTATATTCAGGTGTTTTAAGACCTCCAGCACCTCCACTTTTGTAAAATGGACTCTTTTCAAGACATCACGATTTACTTCCCCAAGTTCCCTAACTTCCACATCTTTCTCCACTTAAGTGTGCAGACATCCTATGAGAGCATGTGGATAATTGACCATCTGGATGGATTGTAGCCACATATTTTAAAAGATTCTGGGGAAGCAATACAGGCATCAAGTAATTCATGAGAAAAATTCTACTGTGGACAACTGGTGGACAGCTGAAGTAATTCCCTTATTAAGTAGGAGAACAAAATATGTCCAGGAATTATAGGTTAGTCAGCTTATTAGTGATAATACAATTGAACCCATTTAAGAGATTAGATAAATGTGTAGACATCGCCCTAACACTGTTCTTGATCTACCTCGCTGCAGTGCTTACCTCACTACCAACAAGCTAACTTACAGAACCTGTTGGAAATGACCCCAGCAAACCCAGGCATGTATATAACAAGCGGGACAGAACCCCAACGTTTCACCAGAGGTGCATTGACGATGTTACCTAGCAGGGTCTTGAAACGTTTGCAGTCAAACACACTGGCTCGGCAAGCCACTCTATAACCACAACCTAAAGTCACCTCAATCAGCGTCGTCAAGCTGCAGTAAACCGATGACGCTTGTGTACTGTCTCTGAGGACATACTCCAGACCATCGTCTCACCCTGAACACCCACAAAATAAAGGTCCTTCATCAATCTGGCCTGGAATTATGGAACAAAACCCCCAATCATTAAGGTTCTTGGGAGGCCTGAGAGAATGTTGACCACTTCCAAAATCTTGGAAGTGTCCTGTCAGCCAAAGTAGCTATTGACCAGCATCGCCTCCAGTGTGCTAGCACAGCCTTCAGCTGCCTGAGGGAAAGAGTGTTTGAGAACAACAACATCAGATCAGACACCATGATCATGGTTTACAGAGCTGTGGTGGTTTCTGCCCTCCTGTGTGGCTCTCAGATGTAGACTGTCCACAGCAGACACCTCAAGGCAGTGGAGCAGTACAACCAAAGCTGCCTGCGCAAGACCCTGAGAATCTGCTGGGAAGAAAGATGCACTACCACCAGCGTCCTCAGCCAGGCCAATATTGCCACAATTGAGGTGACCACCCTTGATCGGCTGCAATGGATTGGGCACGTTGTCCGCATGGCCGACACAAGACTCCCCAGCAGGTGTTCTACTCCCAGCTTCGAAACAGCATCTGAGCCCCAGGTGCACAGAGGAAGCACTTCAGTGATTTTCTCAAGGCCTCACTGGTGAAGTGCAACATTCCTACAGACACTTGGGAATCACTGGCCTAAGATCATCTAAAGTGGAGAAGGAGCATTCTGGAAAGCACCTTGAGACTTGCCATGGGGAAAAAGTGGGACCCACAAGGGAATAAGTGGAAGCCAGGCGAAAACAGCAAAAAGAGCGCACTGCCGCACCAATGTCTCACCCACCCCTTCCTATGACCACCACCTGCCCCAAGTGTAACAGAGCCTGCGGTGACCGTATCAATCTGTACAGCAACCTATGGACTCACCTTGAGAGTGGAAGAGCGTCATCCTCGCCTGCGAGTGACTGTCAATGTTGATGAGTCACAAGAAATAAAACAATAAATAATCAGTGTGGAATGTAGAAGGAAAAATATGATTTGATCAACCTTATTACATTTTTAGGGTACTAGACAGTGGTAATACAGCAAACTTCGTTTAAACTGATACCTTATCAACAGGCACTCTTGATAATGTTTGCCAGTTTATATACCTCAACTCACGATGGGTCATGGTGTTTATGCTATAAATGAAGTATAACAGTAAAGTGTATACCCCTGCATTATGCTTCTATTTCTTACCGTGTGTTTTTATGTCGATGTTACTGTCTCAAAGCTTCGTTTGGTCAGGGTATACTGCTGTTATGCATACCTCTAGATTATCCAGAATATTTGATAAGTTGGTGCACTCCTGGTCCCATTGGTGCCAGTTAATAAAATGTTTGCTGTAGAAAAGATATAAATTATCTGGATTTTCAGAAGATCTTTGATAAGCTGTTCCTTGACAGACAAATATATCTGGTCAGAGAATGTAGGGTCAGGGAATAAGTGGCAATGAGCTGCTATCTCGTTTCCAGACTGAATGAAGAGTGGCAGGAGGTGATGTTTCACAAAGATTAGTGCTGAGAAAACTACTGTTCACAATCTATATGAACAGTATGGACTTTAGACTGAAAAACATAATTTCTGAGTTTGCGAATGGCATGACATTTGGACGATAGCTAATGTTGAGGAAGACTATAGCAAATTACAAAAGGACAGCAATAAATTTGCAGAATGGGCAAACAACTGGTAAATGAAGTTATGCACAGACAAACATGAGGCTGTACATTTTGGTAGGAAGAATAGCAAAGTCACTTATTATTTGGATGGTGCAAGTCTAGGTGGAGTAGAAGAGCAAAGGGATCTCGGCATGTAAATATAGCATTCACAAAAGATTGCGCAACAGGTTATCAAGGCAATAAGAAAAGCCAACTCAGTACTAGGCTTTAATTCTAGGGGAACATAGATTTGATAGTTGCTGATGTAATTAAGTATTTGGTCCATATGTATGGTCCTTCTGTATACGTTAGTCTGGATTTCCTTTTTGTTCTTGCATTCTGTCATTGTGTCTGGGAAGAGTAGTTGGTTATTGTTCTCTTCTTTTGTGAATTTTATTCCGGTGAGGATATTCTTTATCTGAGGATGCTGTCCTTGATGATGCTGTTGGTGTCGTGGCGTGCCTGCCTTCCTGATTCGTCCAGCAGTGTGGCAGTTGCCTCTTTGGCCGGGTCAGTGTTTATGGATGTAAATAGTGATGTTATGTCGAAGGATATCATTAGCTCGTCATCTTCTATTCTGGTGTCCTTGATGATGCTGAGGAATTCTTGGGAGGAGTGGATGGAGTGGTTACTGTTGTCAACTAAGTATTTCAGTTTCCTTTGTACAACTTCCCACTATACAACCCAAGGTCTGGGTCCGCTATCTAGATGATACCTTTGTGATTATCAATTGCACAAGACTAGAAGAAACCCACCAACACATAAACAGCATCCTCACCGGAATAAAATTCACAAAAGAAGAGAACAATAACCGACTACCGTTCCTAGACATAATGGTAGAACACAAGAACAGGACTAGCGTATACAGAAAGACTACACATATGGACCAGGTGCTTAATTACACCAACAACCACCCCAATGCCCATAAATGGAGCTGCATCAGGACATTATTCAAACAAGCCACAACACACTACAGCAACCTGGAATTGCGCAAAGCAGAAAAGGAGCACTTATATGGAGATTTCAAAAGGAATGGATACTCAAAAAGCACAATCTGTCGTTACCTCCGTGACAGGCCTCAAAGAAGACAACACAGCCAGACACAGTAGTCACGTTACTGTACATCAGATGAACACGAGACTACTCCGGCCCCTAGGTATCAGGGTAGCCCACAAACCAACAACCACCCTGCAACAGTCATTGACGAACATAAAGGATTCATACCCACAACCAATAAAGCTAACGTAATATATACAATACCGTCCAGGACTGTGAAAAACATTACATAGCCAAACTGGAAGAAAACTGACAATAACGATACACGAACACCAACTAGCCACCAAGAGACACTATCAGTTCTCACCGGTCTCAAGGACAAAGAAGGGCACGAATTCAGCTGAGACAACACATTCATAATAGTACAAGCCAAACAGAGACATGCCACAGCATTCCTGGAGACCTGGCATTCCAACCAGAACTCCATCAACAAACACATTGAACTGGGCCCAACATACAGACCACTGAAAAACAGACCTGGAAGTGATGCAAACCAAGGCGCATAAATAGCAAGCAGGACAGAACACCAACGCTTCACCAGACACTGACGATGTTAACTAGCAGGATGACAAAACATCTGCAATCAAACATATCAGCTTGGCGAGCAAGTCTACATTCAACCCATTGCTAATTAAAAATCTGTCTATCTCCTCCATAAATGCACTCATTGTCCCGACATCCACTGTACTGTGGGGTAGTGAATTCCACAGATTTATGACCCCTTGAGAGAATTAATTTCTCCTCATCTCTGTTTTAAATCTGCTATCCCTTTATCCTAAACTATGACCTATCATTCTAGATTGCCACACATGAGGAAATATTCTTTCCATGTCTACTTTGTGAGTCTCCTTTAGCATCTTGCATACCTCAGTCAGATGTCCTCTCATTCTTCTAAACTCTAGAGAGCGTCAGCCTAAGCTGCTCAATCTCTTTTCATAAGACAACCCATCACCTTTGGAATCAATCTAGTAAATCTCCTGAACTGCGTCCAATACAACTACATGCCACCTTAAGTAAGGGGCCCAAATTGTACACAGTACTCCAGATGTAGCCTCACTAAAGCCTGAAAAATTGCAGCAACATTTCCCTATGTTTATACTCTATTCCTTTAGCAATAAGTGCCAAAATTCCATCTGCCCGCCTTAGTTACCTACTGTACCTGCATACTCATTTTTTTATTATTCATGCACAAGATAACCTCTGTACCAAAGCACACTGAAGTTTTTGTCCATTTTGATAATACGTTGCCTTTCTATTCCTCTGACCAAAATAGATATCTCTCATATATCTATGTTAACCTTCATCTGCCAAATTTTGGCCCATTCACCTAACCTATTCATATCCGTTTGTGAATTTCTTTTATTGCATCTTACTTTCCCACCTATTTTAGTGTTATCTACAAATTTAGCAATCATATTTTCCATCACCTGATCAAATTCATTAATATAGATTGTAAATAGTTGGGATAAAAGTCGAAAGAACTGTAGATATTGTAAGTCAGGAACAAAAATAGAAGTTGCTGGAAAAGTTCAGCAGGTCTGGCAGCATCTGTAGAGAAAAATCAGTTAATGTTTGGGGTCCGGTGGCCCTTCCTCAGGACTGATGGTAGCTAGGAAAATGTTGGCTTATATGCAGAAGATAGCATGAGGGAAGGGGGTAAGGAGTAAATGATTGTGGGGATAGAGCCCAAAGAGAGAGAAGAGCAGGTGGACAGACAAAGGAGTTGATGTCGCTCTGGCTAGGAGGGTGAATAGCTGTTAATGGAGACTGTTAGTGGCTAACAATAGGTAGTGTGTAATGACTGACTAGTTATAGTTGTGGCCTGATGACTGGAGCTTGTGGCATCTCATTAGCTAATCTTGTCAACCGGGGGGAAAAAACTTGTTGATCCCAACTCTATATTTTCTGTAAGTTAGCCAATCTTGTATCCAAGCCAATAAATTACCCCCAACCCCATATAATCCAACCTTATGTATTAATCTTTTATATGGCACCTTATCAAATGCCTAGTAGAAGTCCAGATATACTAACGTTTACAGGATGTCCCTTATCCACGTTGCTTGCTTTATTTTCAAAGAACTCTAACAAATTATTCAAATTTGATTTACCCTTCGTAAAACTATGCTGATTCTGATTAATTGTATTTTGACTTTCCAAATGTCCTGTCGTTACTTCCTTGATAATGGATTCTCACAATTTCCCAATGATGCATATTCAACTGACTGATCTGTAATTTCCTACAGAATTAATACAGCATAAAATTCTGTTGAATAATGAGATGCTGTGCCAAACTCTCCTACATCTCTATCACAATACCCTGACCAGTCAGAACCTGCCTATTCTGAGTATTATGATTGGCAGTTAAATTTTCTTGTTGCATCTGCATGCCAATTATGGCATAACCCATCTGCACCCTCTTCTCATCCTCGATAAAATGTGTCTTTTTTCTCTCCCCAAATCTGTTTCCTGCATTCTAGTTCAGATGAGTGCAAGATGAAAAGCTTCACTGTCTAATCTCCTTTTGTTAATGTATTTGTAGATATTTGTCTCCACTCATGCCTGGCCACAATTATGTTAGTAGTGGCACATTTGGTCAGACTCTTGTCTCTTGAGTCAGAGGGATCTAACTCTTAAAATCAACTTCAGAATTTGAAAACAATCTAGGCTGGCATTGCAGGACCTCACAAGTTTGACTTTCAGATGGGACCTTAAACTAAGGCACCATTTGCTGTGTCAAGTGGTTGTAAAAGATCATTTGGGGATTTTCAAAGAAAAGCATCAGAGTTATCGGGGTATCCTGGCCAGTGTTTATCCTCAGTCAATATTATGAATACAGATCATTTGGTCATTATCACTCACTTGTTGTTGGTGGGAACTTGCTCCAATGAAATTGATCGTTGTGATTCCTACATTATAACAAGGGCAACACTTCTTTAAAAAAAAACTTGATTGTCTGTAAAGTGTGATGTCCGATGGCCATGTAAAGCCTTTTTTGTTTGTCTTTTGGCTTCCAGCTGTCTTTGTTAATACTAACAAAGTTTCAGTTATAATTTCTGTCACTTTTTCATTATTCTTTGAGTGATTTCTTTAATCTCAAATTAATCTTTGAATATTTTAGTTTTCTCCTTTAATCTGAAAAAGCTGGACCATATGTCTTGCCAAATTTGATTCAATTAACTTCCTAATTTGAAACCCAAGTGCAGGAATTGTCCTCATTGTTTGTTATTCTGTAGTCTCCATTATATCAATTTAAAACTCAACTTCAAAGTGTTCCAGAGAAGGAATAGCTAACAGTATCCTTTTCTTTCATGATCTCTATTAGGTTCAAACTCGTAGTGCTGATGAACCAATGACCACATTTGTTGTATGCAATAACTGCGGAAATAGATGGAAGGTGAGATCTTTAAATTTGTAATAGAGACTTAGAAAATTGACATCATGCTTTTTATTATTGTATAGTCTAATAGTTGCACCTTAAATGAGGATTTGCTATGTACTTTGAAAAAAGGGCAACTTTAGTAAGATTTTAAATAATGAGGAAATATTTCTGCCCTTTCTACTGTATTCCAAGGGGAAATTCACACTGTTATGTAGATCTT